GCCGGATGTTTTCTGCTTGGGCACATGTGCCCCAGCCCTTGAGTAGTTTGTATTTTTAAGGACCAGCTCCACGTCCAGTTTGTCACTCCTTGTAGAACATATGTTCCTGAAACCATCTAATACATTACTCATAGATGTTTACAATTGTTTGAAGATTGCTTTTAACATTTCCTAATTTCTGGGCTCTTGTTTTCAGTGATTACTATGAAGAGAGATTCTTGTTGACAAACACATTTGAGGAAGGCAAGCATTTTCACTGAATTCCACCAGTTTAGGAATACTCCTGACTTGTGGACATTCTTTCTCTCTTGGTCATTTAAATGGTTCTCTGTGATCTTGTTGATTTGACTCATAACCGGTTATTGTTTTTCTTTTTCAGTCCAGGAGTTTATAATTTTTTCCTTCAGTAATGTAATTGCCATCAGTCCTTCTTATACCTTCTTACGAAGATGCAGAGCTGGTGTGAATCATCAGTGGCTCCAAGTCCAGCTGTCTCTCGTATTTGAATGATTTGGTTTATTTTATTTTTACTTCTTAGGCTGCCTATTCTCATTATGTTTTTCTGTCAGGAGCAAGGACTCATTTGTCCACCTGACAAAAATCCTCCTGTTTTGAGTGACAAGTATTACTGAATCATTATCTCTTTATTTTTTTTAATTCATTTCAAATGCTTAAGAACTGGTCTCTCTAGAGCAGTGATCGCCAAACTTTCAGACCTCACGGACCACCAGTGGTCCGCGGACCACTGGTTGGTGACCACTGCTCTAGATTTTGCCACAACTACTAAAACATTTGATTTGCTGTTCTCTTCTCACTCCCCCATCTCTGGAATAATCTTCACCTTCTTGCTCACCCTCAGTAAGACTAATCAGCATTTCATCTGAGAAGTATCCACTAGGAGTTCCCAGTCTTACTAGTTGAGGTCTTGCATCCAATGAAACTATGATGGTCGGGTAGTCAGAGAGTGCCAGATTTCCAGTTTTCCTTATCACATGGCTCACCCAGGTAGACCAATAAAGAGGATGCCTTTTAGGGTGCATAGTTGGCTGTCTTGGCTACAAAACTATGAAATCTTATGATTAATTATATTATGATTAATTATATTTTGTTCTCTTCTTGAACAATGAATTCCTTTCCCTGACCTTTTGCTTTTGTTGTTTTGTTTTAGGTTATGACATATGTGAAAGGTTCTAGATAACTTAATATAAGCCCAAATAGAACCTAAAACAGAATTTATTTTTTAGAAAAAGAATTCTAATGTCCTTCAGTAAATGGAATGCTAGAAATCCCCAAGTTCAGTTTGGGTGTAGCCACCTGTTTTATTCTATTGACTTTCCTAGCTCAGGGAGGGTCACGTTCTCGTTTTCTACCCCATCCTCATTCCCTTGTGAGTTTAATTCAGACAAATACCATATTTCATATGCTACAGCCTTTCTCATTAGGTCATGGAGAACCCCAGTCTATCAAACTAATAGGAGATGTGTTCTAAAAATCTTTATCTAAGTCTAGTTTTCAGAATGAAATCTTTTTATGAGCATTAGGATTCTGATAAAATATTTTATTTTATAAAGCAAAGCATCTTTATATAATGTTTTTTTCCAATTGTGATTTAAAAGTGTTATCTGTCAGATATCCAATCTTAGGCTGCTCACAGTCTACCAAATAAGGTAAACATATGATTAAGTAAATATATGCAAGTTAATAAATATACCAGTAGGCATCTGAATAAAATACCAAGGAATTAATTTAAGAGTCTGCTAACTGGGTACCGTGTTTGCCACTCATTGGATACTCATTAAACATTCATTGAATAAATAAAAATTGAAGAAAGTTTCATTTCAAATACTCCTTTTCTAATGGATACTAAGGCAGAAAAAAATCCTGATAATATTTTAGAAAAACTAATATACTTTTAGCAAGATACTGTTTTTAATTTATAGAATTACAACCTTCTCATGGATAAGTAAATAAAATCACAAGAAAAATATGAGCTACAGCTATATTCTTCTGTTTCCTCAGAGAATTATGTCATCCAAACTTGGCCTCAAACTAGAATTCATAAAACTATTAATCTCTCCTCCTGTATAAAGCAGAAAATGTCTCTATTGAACCCCAAAGAAGTATCATATCCCCCTTTTTTATATGGTGGTCTGGGGCTCCTCACAGCCTTGCAGGACTTGATATGAGTACTTTGTGCAAAGGAAATTTTTACTTACACTGAATCATACTGGTAAGTGGCATAACCATTCCTTAGATGATCCCCTAATTATGTCATTTTAGAGTTGTTTTTCTTCTCAGTAGCAGGTTCCCATTTGCAGGCCTTATTAGTCTGCCTACGTCTTAGTTCCATGTAACTCTTTTGGTTTCTCTTTCTTCATTGTTGCTTCCGTTTGGAATTTAAGCTCTTAAAATATGAACAGTTCTAAATCTCTGGAATCAATTTAATAATCTACTTTTTTCAAAATCTACTTAGAGTTAAGCAATCTCCCAATAGCCTCATGGTGTTTTTTTTAAGTCTCCTGTAGGGCTTTAAATATGATATTGAAAATTTGCCAAGCTATTAGGGGGTCATTGGGTATTGTGTGTGTGTGTGTGTGTGTGTGTGTGTGTGTAGTGTGAATATTAATCTAACATCATTTCCTAAGCATAATATACTTTTACGACATGGCTAGTGTAAGGGAAGAAGTATTTTTATCATGACATCACCCCCTTTATCGGCTAAAGACACTGGAGTTCAAATGTCCACCTCTAAACTACCATGTCAGTGAGCCTAGTCTGTCTCCTTAGGGATATGGTACACTTCTGGCTCATTTCAAAAACAGTCCAGTGAAGATTAACCCAGATATATTTCTTGATAAGTGAATCGATTGCTCAAAATATCAGTTGATTTCAAAACATCATATTGATTTCAATATGGTGTATCTGTTAGTATATGGGACAAAAATGACATTCTAAATCCCCAATGTTTTGCTGTAGCAGTGGTACCTGTGTCATTTAGCTAAATCACAGCAAAACTATTTTCTTCAGGTAGTGGTTCCAAGTTTTTAAAGAGGGGAAGAAACAGAACATTCTTTTCTTTGCCCTGCCTGGTTTGCTCAGTGGTGAGAGCGTCAGCCTGGGGACTGAAGGGTTCCGGGTTCAATTCCAGTCAAGGGCACTACCTCAGTTGCAGGCTTGATGCCCAACCTTGGTCTCGACACATGCTGGAAGCAACTAATTGCTGTGTCTCTCTCACATCCATGTTTCTCTTCCTCTCCCCTCCCCCTCCACTCTCTCTAAAAATCAATGAAAACAATATCCTTGGGTGAGGATTAACCAAAAAGAAAGTTCTTTTCTTTGAGCAATGTCTGATGTTTACAAAGCACATTCTTGCAAATGATCCCACTTGATCCACAGGACAGCTCACTCTCCCCATTGTATAAATGCATTAGCCAAGAAGCAGCGTGTGAGTGAAAATTGCCTGAGGCCATACTACCAGTCAGGGGTGGAGCCTTGAAGACAACTCAGGTTTCTCCCTCCTGGCCTGGTAATACACTCCAAGCATTAATATGAGTACTTGGACCCTGGACTCAGTTTTTCATATGCAAACTACTCTGTAGCCCTTACACATCTTTTTATCAAAGAACTAACTTGAAGCTAAACATCAATTGCATAGAGCTACAGCAACCCAGAGGGTATGTGTAGGGAGCATCAGGAATTTAGATTACAGAGTCATAAGGAAGTAGATGGCCAAATAGTAGATGTTTATGGTTACTTGCTATAGAATAAAAGGTAGCAATGTGATCTGTGCAATTTAGACAACATTGGGGCAGGAGTGTTTGAATAAAAGGTGAATGTCACAGAAACCAAGAGGATATGGTTGAACACAAAGGGCTATGAAGGCTGCTCTGTGCTCTGACTATCTGTCAGTCAAAATAAGACACAACTTATGGTGCAGTAGTAGGGCTACTCTTAGGAAAAAGGCTGGTCAAATTAAAGGGAAGGGCAGGGGAGGAGGTATGTCCTATCAAGCTAAGGAGGGGTTTTACTCTAAAATTTCAGGTGACCTATTCCTCTTTGATTCCTTTCCCACTTGTAATTCACATCCTTTCCTATGTCCCATGTTTAGCTTCACTGGTCCAGAGATCTCAATCCAATTTCAGTATTTGTAAATTTTTATATATGTGAGAACAGACTACCCCTATAAAATAATATTAATATGGGGCTTGTGGCCTTTTGTTTTTCCCCAGAGGAACAAAGAAACAGCATCATTAACTCCAGCTTGGAATCTGTCGTCTCATCAAATGCAAACAGCGTTCTTAATTCTAGCAGCAGCTTACAGCCCAACATGAATTCCAGTGACCCAGACCTGGATGTGCTCAAACCCACCCGGCCCAACTCACTGTAAGTATGTTTGCTTGCCTGCCATAGCAGGCCCTCGGTCAGCAGTTCTGCTGAGAATTTGCTCTCAGGCCCAATCTGACTTTGAGCATTGTCCTATGAATGTTATTTAAATTTCCCTAAACTTGGAGCTTGGCTAGTTTGTTATGGGTTAATCATTATTCACAACATACTGCTTCTTGGCCTTGGTGATCTATGATTTACCATCCTGCTGAGATGGCTTCGGTGATGGCTATTGCTCTTGCCTGTGCTGGCTGCTGGGCATGAAAAGCAATTCCTTTTGATTTTATGAACATCCAGGCACTGTAGTAGCTCAGTAGATCACAAGCCAGGTCTGTTTCTTTCATTCATGTTGTCTTGGTTTCCCTCCTCCCTGACTGTGTTGACAATGTTCATTTCCAGAAAAAAGCCCCCCAGTAGCCCTTTGAGTCTTCAGCTCCTCGAACCTTAGTGTGACTGTGATCACATACAGAGGCTATAAAAGAGAAGCACCATTGTTGCTTCACTCTTGGGTTTCAAGTACCCGTAGCCAACACAGGCAGTTTTGGGGCTGCTTGTCCAAACCTCCACGGAAATTGGATGTACTCTGTTAGGGCCAGAAAGCCCTCCCTTGTGGTTTCTTCTCACATTGCTTAGCATGCTTCCTCAGACCACCCCATAAATCGTGTCAACCGGAGCCTTTGCGGAAAGAATGTGAGGCCATGACCAGAACAGCTGGACTTTGAGGCTGCAGTTGTATAAGGCTCGGGAAAAGCAGGGTTGACTTTGCCTTTCTCTAGTGAAAATAGTTTGCGAGTTTTACATAGTGAGGCGTCGGGATAGCAGAGCCTTTTCCTGCCCCTCTCTAGGCTAAGACTGTGCATGAAAGCACCTTAGCATTCTATCTCATTAAGATAGCTACAGATGTGCAAAATGGGTCCAACAATTTTTGCCTTAGAAGAGACTAAGGTACATTAAGGTTTGGGAGGGAAAATGACTCTAAAGTGGACTTAAGAGGTAATTATATAGAAAACACAACAACAGTATAGAATGAAATCATACATTGAGAAAGTCAGGTCTCATTTTAGGTAATGGCTTTAAATCCTACCTTGATATTCAGGAAGTTAAATGACTTACCTATTTTTTGGTAATATGTTTGTTCACTAAGAAGTGAACCAGTGCCTTAAGAGCTCAAAATAATTTAACGTGTTCAGGTTATGGGCAGTGAGTTTCTCTGGCTCCCCATGGCCAGACTGGATGTCTCAGGTGCTCCTAGCCATTAAGGAGATTCTTGTTCCCCACTGCACCCCCATTTTGTTTAATCTCTGTACCTACCAGTTGCTGAGGTTTTGCTCAGCGTGAGCAAAGTTGAATTTCCAGCCCAGGTTGCTTTATATCTTCTGATTCTAGCTGTCGTACCAACTAGTTTTCTTTAATCTTTGTTTTCAGCAGCTAAGGGCTGGGAGCCCCCTGAGTCACTGCTGAGTACAGTGTGTCCAGAGAGGCTGCTTGAGCAGCTAAGTAGAAAGGGGTTGTCTTTTAAACAGGTCCTGGAAGAGGGGGCTTAGGCTTTTTATTTTTTAATTGTCTAGTGATTTGTTTTACATAAAACACTGCGGGGTGATTCAGTCCATTTCATACCATACAGGGGGGCTGTTCCCTACATGCTGCAGATTTGGGGGGAGGGGCTTTCCCAGGGAAGGGAAGGTGATGCCAGGAACAGTTCTACCTTTATTCTTGGGAGGGGGATTAGAGGTAGATGTGTGGTGTTTCTAGCAGGACTGTGGTCCTGCTGAGCTCAGGGAAGGTCTGACTGACACCTGTGAGTCTTGAGCTCAAAGCAGACTGTTCCTGAGGCAGGAGTGCTGATCCCAGGGCAGACACCAGAGTTTGCCACGCCCCAAACACGGGCCAGGAACAGGTCCTGCAAGCTTTTCAGTAAGTTCAGTGACCATTTCTGTCAATCAGGGCAGTGAGATGCTGTGGCTCCCATTGTTTTCTGCGTGGAATTTGCCTGAGTGGCCATGGATACAGGCTGGGTAGTTCTGGCAAACAGAAGTCACAGTATGTTCCCTGAGAAAATTGATTCTGTGAAGTCTGTCAGCACACTGTGCCATGGTGATTGGCTCAGTTGAAGCCAACTGAGACCGGTGGGTCTCAGCCTCCGTTCTGGACCCTTTTATTCCCTTCAGCAGTGTTCACTTTGAAGTGCACAGAGAGCCTTGAATGGGAACACTTAATGATGACGATGAAAACAAAACACAGAATCAAGGGTGGTGGATTACCATTAGCTTGTTTGACTATTAATTGAGCATAAGGTGGGGAACTAGTCACCAGAAAACGGTCTGTTCTTTTTATTTTATTCATTTGTTTTTCATTATTTTCATAATGACTGGAACGATCACTGTGACCGTGTAACAATCATAATGAAAGAAACACATTGTGACTCAGCACCCTTTGGTACTTCAGAGACTACATTTTGCTGTCTCATTGGTAAATCTTTGCTAATTCTCCAAGGAGATCAGGACTCTCTTGTTTGTGTGGGCATAGTGCTAAGTCAGGCATCAAAATTAGAGATGCCACCATTCTAGCCATGCCAGGGCAAGACTGCAGTGTTTAAATCTTTGGCAGGTCCTCCTGAAGATCAAAGGGTACTTGATAAGCCAGGACAAAAGTCCAGCTGGTCCAAAATTATCAGCAAGTATTCTCTCCTATTTTGTGCCCAAACCTATGCTAAGCTATCTTGGGTAAATGAAAAAAAAAAAAAGAGTTTACAGCCTGGCTAAGGAGGAAAGACAGTGGTATATGGCAGTGTTAATTGGGACTTGTAGCTTATAAGTGTGTTTAAAGTTCAACAACTATTAACTGAATATCTGATGAGTACACGCACCAGTCAGAGTATTGGGGAAGGTAGGGTAGACAAAATGTGAGGTAGGCCTTAGATAAGATTTTATGGGTGGATGAAGAACATTCCAGCCTGTGTGGGTCAACCCATGAACCAGGAGATCACATGCCTGGGTTGAGGGCGCCATCCCCAGTGGGTGGGCATGCAGGAGGCAGCCGGTAGATGATTCTCTCTCATAATTGATGTTTCTATTATCTCTCTCCCTCTCCCTTCCTGTCTCTGAAATCAATAATAATTTTTTTTAAAAAGCATTCCAGGTAAGGGGTATGACGGAGGTAGAGATGATCCAAGATGGAAAAATAGCCTACAGACATGTGATGAGGGAGGGGCAATTTACTAGTTCCTTTCCTACCACTACCAGTGTATGTCTATCCAACCTTTAAAATCAGGACACTTCTTACAAAAATCCAGATTTCATAGACATCCACATGCAAAAAGGAAAAGAAGAAGAATCTAGACCCAGACCTTACACCTATCATAAAAATTAACTCAAATGGATCATAGACCTAAATATAAAACTATAAAATTTCTAGGAGATAGCATAAAAGAAAGTCTAGGTGACTTTGGGTTTGACAATGACTATTTAGATACAACACCAAAAGCATAATTGATTACATTAAAAATTGGTCAGTTGGACTTCCTGTAGGTTAAAAACTTCTGCTCTGCAAAAGACACTATTAAGACAATGAAAAGCCAAGCCACAGACTAGGAGAAAATATTTTCAGGGAAAAAAAACAACTATGTAAACACAAAACAAAATAGAAATAGAGGTATGGATACTTGGAACAGACAGACAGCTGTCAGAGGGGAGAAAAGTTAGGGGTTGGATAAAAGAAGGTGAAGGGATTAAGCAAAAACACACACATATAAAACACACACATATATACATATACATCATAGACACAGAAAACAGTGTGGTGATAGCCAGAGGGAAAGGGGGATGGAGAGTAGATGGAGGTGGGCAAACTGGGGAAAATGGGGATGGAAAGAGATTTGGCTTGGGATGACAGACACATGATAGACTGTGAAGATGATATTTTGTTGACTTGTAGACTTGAAACCTGTATGATTTTGTGAACCAATGTTACCCAGTAAATTCAAATAAAAATCAATAAAATCAAAAGTAATTGACTCGAAACAGTTTGATAAAGGACCAGTATCCAAAATACACAAAGCACTTTTAAAATTCAACAATAAGTAAACAAACAACCCAATTAAAAACTGGGCAAAATATCTAGATCGATGGTTCCTGATGCCGCGACCCTTTAATACAGTCCCTCGTGTTGTGGTGACCCCCAATTTTATTGTTACAAATTGAACATAATTAAAGCATAGTGATTAATCACAAAAACAATATGTAACTATATATGTGTTTTCCGATGGTCTTAGGCGACCCCTGTGAAAGGGTCGTTCGACCCCCAGAGGGGTCGCGACCCACAAGTTGAGAACCTCTGATCTAGATAGACACCTCACCAAAGAAGACATACAGATGCAAATAAGCATATGAAAAGACGCTCAACATCTTGTTTCGTTAGCGAATTCCAAGTTAAAACAATGATATATCGCTACACACCTATTACAGTGGCTAAAATCCAAAACACTGACATCAAATGCCAGTGAGGATGTGGAGAAACAAGAACTCTCATGCATTGAAGATGGGAATGCACAATGAGACAGCCACTTGAAAAGATAATTTGGCAGGTTCATACAAAACTAAACATAGACTTATCACATGACCAATCTAGCAATCACACGCTTAGGTGTTTACCCAAATGAGTTGAAAATTGATGTCCACATAAACACCTGCCCACAAATGTTTAAAGCAGCTTTATTCAGAATTGCCAAAACTTGGAGGCAACCAAGATGTCCTTCATTAGGTGAATAAATAAACAAGTTGTGGTACATCCAGACAATGCAATATTGTTTAGTGATTAGAGAACTGAGCTTTCAAGTCATGAGAAGACATGGATGAACCTTAAATTTATATTATTAAATGAAAGAAGCCACTGTAAAAAGAGTACAATATGGTATGATGCCAACTATATGACATTCTGGAAAAGCAAAACTGTAGAGTCAGTAAAACGATTCTGGATAGTGGATACAAAACATTATGCATTTA